TCATTTTCTTCCTCGGTTCTTTCTTTTCTTCGATTCTTCTTTTCAAGAAAAAACAAAGAGGTGTACTGGACGACTCGCATAGTAAAGTGTAGTAAATTTATTCAACATGCTTGGGAGCCGAACTTCTTATCCATGGTCATTAATGAGAACTCGGTGCGACTGTGTTGGTCATGCCGATAAGGAGGAGGACATAGAGGCACGTACCCAACACAACTCTCTGGGACTCCCACTAGGAACCCATTGGACTCCATCCTCTGCTGCTAGATATATGTACCATTGAAACCTTTCATCATATTAGATGAATACGACTTGGTTCATCTAGCTACATGTTGTAAAATGTAAAAATGTGATACTAGTTTATTACTATAATTTCAGAGAGGTGTATTTTTGTATTACTATTATTGTTGTAAATCAGAGTAGATCAAGACAATTCTAACTAGATACTCATAGCCAGTCACACAAGTATTTTAGGAAGCAAAATTGGCACCATACTATGTAGTAAATCATGCCTAGAGTTCACTTACTGTGAACAAAAGCCCGAGCCTCCCGCGTCTGCTGGAGCTGAGCATGCAATTTGGTAATCGTCTCCTCTTGGTCCCTTTCATGATGGATCCAATAGTCTCGCCCTATGTGCATGTTGGGCGAATTTTAACTCCAGAGTGCATACGCAAATATCCTTGTTCTTGATCTCTTGGTTTGCTTCGTGAAACTTGTGTTGCAACCAAAAGGCGCTATATATACCATTGGGTTGAAGGCTACAATCTAGTAATTAGAGGAATCATGATTAAGGTACTCGTCGGGTAGGCGTAGTGGGGATGGGGGTGGGGGTCTAAAGGATGTATGGTGTCCTTAGGGACATGTATACATAGACTTCCCGACTGTCATCTTCAAGGTCAAGTTGACCCCAATAGGGGAGCAGCGATAGTGGGGCGTCGGCTGCTAGTTCTGGCGGTTTTAGTGGTCATTCGGTGGTCTCAGAATCGTGATGTATTATTTCATATGTTTGAGGTGCTTTGTATTTTTAGTGAAATTTTGATAATAGATCGTGATAATTTTTGCAAAAAAGGATGTATGGTGGTTCGTTTTTTCAGGCAAATATACATGTTAAATGTATTAGCTTCTATACTGATGTTGCATCTCTATAGTTTTTTCTTTTACTTATTCATGTCAAATATGCTAATGCGTCAGAATTTAGATTTGTTGATATTGTTGCTCGTATTTTGGTACTCCAATTTGGAAGTATTGTTTTACAGGAAAAAAAGTAGTATGAGAACCAAGCTAGAAGGGTGAGAAGGGGAAGATAATCCTCAACCTGAAGTTTAAATAATTTATTTGGTTGTTAGAACAAATTTCATGTGAGATACCTACATATGTAAATCATTGGAACATATTTTTTAGCTTCTTCCAGATGTGCCAATTTCTCAAGGAAACTCCCCTTTTTTTACCTTAGGTATCCACTTCTGAAACGTTCGCATGAGCATCGCCTTGTATTAGGATAGAAAGATATACGTCAAAAAATATAAAAAAAGATATATCATAGTTCATATTCTCTTCCCGACATTTATAATCATAGGGAGTTAGGGACATCGGGTTTTATTTCTGGTACAAGGTGCCAAATTGATGTACTTCTATAGGATTTCAGGATGGGTGTATCACACCCCTTGTTCCGATTGCATTCAGCTGTAAATGTCATGGCCTATGTTTATTGTGATCAAATGGTGCACATGTAGTGTGTCACTTGTCAGCAACTGAGAAGGTGAAGAGTGACATTTGCAATGGGCAACTCTTAACTAGTGATTTCCTATGTATAGCGATAGATATCCGTCCAATCGCCCGTTCATCGTCCAAGTTGGGCTGGCCAAATAAGAGGCAAATGGGAGGGATTAGCTGGAACGGTTTGGGGTCCAATCCGGTTTTATCGGTTGAATCTTCTAGACGGTTCCTGCCAAGGATTTTTTTCATTTATTTACTGGTTCTTTTTGTGGTTTTCATTTTTTGTTTTCTTTGATTTATTTTTCTTTTTTGGTTCTTTTTTTGACAATTTTTTTAAAATATCCAAAAAATGTCCAAGACCTCAAAAAATGTTTTCTTTTCCGAAAAATCTTGTGTTTAGAAAAATTATCCATGTTTTTTTTCAAAATATTCAGTTTTTAAATTACTTGAAATTTCAGTAATAATTTATAATTTAAAAATGGTTACATTTCTTCAATAAGTGTGTGCATTTTCCAAAGAAGGTTCTGGATATGCAAAATTTTACTCGGAATTTCAAATAATGTTTAAAAATTCAAAAAAGTTGACACTCTACAAAATTTGTTTGCATACATTTTGTGATTTCATGAAAAATGTTTCATATCCATGGATTTTTTTTGGATCCATGAACATTTTCCAAATTTGCAAGTAGTTTTTGTTTTTCACGAACATTTTTTGAAATATGTAAATAATTTTAGATTTTTCGAAAATTTGTTTGAATACATGAACATTTTTTAAAAAAATTACTCAGCATTAGAAATAATGTTTAGAAACTCAAAAAGTTGACATTTTACAAAATTTGTTTTGCATACATTTTATGATTTCATGAACATTTTGCATATCCATGGAGCTTTTGTTGGATCCATGAAGATTTTTCCAAATTTGCGAGTAGTTTTTGGTTTTCATGAACATTTTTTGAAATATGAAAATAATTTTAGATTTTTTTGAAAAGTTGTTTGAATAGATGAACATTATTTTTTCAAATTTTAATCACTATGAGAAATAATGTTTGAAAACTGAAACAGTTGACATTTTACAAAATTTGTTTGCATACATTTTCTGATTTCATGAACATTTTGCATATCGATGGAGTTTTTTTTGGATCCACGATGATTATCCAAATTTGCGATTAACTTCATGCTTTTTTTCAAGTTTATGCTTTTTTTCACGATGAATATTTAAATTCATGCTTTTTTTCAAGTTCTCAGAAAAAATAGAATTCGTGAACAATCTTTTGAATCCGTGTGCAACTTTTAAATTCCTGAATATTTTTTTATATATCAAATTCATGATTTTTAAATAGATGAAAGCGAAACAACTCGAAAAAAAATTGATGTACGCTCGCTCGCTCTTTTTCAGTCGAGTTGTGTCGCGCGCTGGTTTAGGCCCATTAGCACAGGAGCGACCCGGCCCTGGAACCCAATCTTCTGCAAGGCCGCCGGCAGCGTATAAGAATTGGACGAGCGCTAGGGTTCCACCCTCTCTTCTCTCCCCCCTCCCTGCGCCGCCGCCTCCGTCCGTTGTAGCAGAAGCAGCTTGCGCCGCCTCCTCCGTCGTCCCATCCCCAACAGCCGAAGAAAGGTTCCTATCCCCTCCTCCATCCCTCCCCTACGCCTCCTCACGGCCGGCTCTACGGACCTGTCGGTTTCGTTTTCTGTGCTGGATCGATTTAGTTACTGTGATTGATTTCGTTGCTAGTTGAGATTCCCGGCATGTCTAGTTTGATGCGTACTACTGATGATTCTGAGAGATGCTTGTTTCATCTTCCGCTTCCAGTGCCTAGTTTTGTGCCGATATTGGCAGCTACTCTTTAGATCTCGAAATATGCCTCGGGGTGGTTCTTGCTGAAGATTTGTATAGTATAGAGGAGGAATCGGGCCTTATTCTGTGTAAAACGTAATTATTGTTGGAGCCATCTTTGGACGGCGGCGACCATAGGCATCAGCGTCTCTTGAACTCGACTTGGTGCCGGTCATCTGTGTGCGCGCTCTTTGATTTGCAGTATGCAGGGGGCTAGAGTAAAGTGCAGAAATTTGAGTGCCTAGTTCTCAGGTCTCAGCTCCCAGCTTGATTGATACTTCATGTTATTAAATCTGAACCAGTGAACATATGCGGTTGAAAATGATACGTTTCTGAAAGTTAGCTTGCATCTAAACAGAGGCAACTCTGCATTGTTTCTGAATCACATTTCAGTAAAAAGTTAAATGGAATGTGGTAACAAATGCACCAAAAGATCAAGCAGGGTCACTGCTGTAGATTGCAGTGGCATGGATATTTAGACCACATTGCTTGTGGACACTCAATCTGCAATACATCAGGCCTTATTATAAGTAGCGAAACCATGGACTGACGAGGCTCAGCCACATAGGGACCTGACTGAGTCATTCTAGTTTCTTGTATGTGTCCAGCCGGCTCAGAGCACCGTCTGGCAGAGCCTTCGTACTGTTGCTGATCACTTCCCTTGATTGTTTAAGCTCAGTCTTGCCTGCAGTCAGCTCATTCTTCAGCTTCTGTTTTTCATGTATTCTGGCAACACACAGTAGACATGTTCCTGTATGATCTATCTCAAGTGCGATGGAATTGTATGTACACTAGCTGTTCTGCTTGAAAGTGCATCTGAATGTTAGTTGTTTCTGATGGTTTTTGCCTAATGCAATCAATCCTTTGCGATGGTTTGTGCAGCATGGACACGCAGGTGAAGCTCGCGGTTGTGGTCAAGGTGATGGGCCGCACGGGGTCGAGGGGTCAGGTGACCCAGGTGAGAGTCAAGTTCCTGGATGACCAGAACCGTCTCATCATGAGGAACGTCAAGGGACCCGTCCGTGAGGGGGACATCCTCACCCTGCTCGAGTCTGAGCGGGAGGCCAGGAGGCTGCGCTAAGAAATTTCTTCCTTTATACCTGTCTGTCTTCGGGAAGAAGAATGCTGTACTGTTGCCTTCTTAGTCTACTGCTTTCGTTATTTGCCTAGCTATGTGGAGGTGTAATGAGTCTTGTTCTGTTGCCTAAATTAAAGTGCACTTGATGTTGTGAGACTTGATCATTGTTGCAGACCTCTTGGTAATATGAACCGTGAATCGTCTATATTAGATCCTATATGATTTGAAATCATCATGTGCCTGTGGTGTGTTCTGGTTCTTTGCGTGTTATTTTACCGGAACCAAACTCGTGGAAGGTTTCAGGAGAGTTGGGACATTTGACATGTCTGCCAGCCCAAAACCCCACTAAGAGCCATCCGAACTCCGCCCCTTGAATATGTGCACCCTTGAAGACCACCAGTCGCTGGGAACCGGATCTCACCGTGCTACAATGTTAGGCCAGTGTAAAATGAAGAAGAAAAGTTAGAGACTGTTAGTAGATAATTAATAGGTTGTTTAGTGTTGGTATTTACTGTCGATATAAATAATTTAATTTTAATTTTATTTCATCATCAATTTGTTTGCATATAATAATTACTATAAATGTGTACGGTAGATCATCAAATTGCAAATTAATTTAAATCATTTTAGACATAATCATATGAATAGAAAAAAGGAAAGTTAGAGTATTGTAGCTTCTCTAAGATTCCTTCTTAATGTTAGAGGATCTGGTTCCCAGTCGCTGCCCCCCTTGGAATATGCTGGCGTTTTGACGGCAGCACAGGTATCATCTGCCCTGCAGATGCTGTCCAGGTATAATCCTTGTCAAACAAACATACGTTTGACTTTACACAAATTAATGCACTTCATATTCTACAACGGAGGTAGTATGATTGAGCGTACAAGATTATTAATTCCTTACATAATATAAACGACTTGGGTGAATAAAATGGGGACATCAATTGTCAAAAGTCGTTTGAATTCCGAGCTTGATCATTCTAGAAAAGAAATACTCCCTCCGTCTTGGTTGTGAATTTGACAAACGCGGTACTAGGACCCCAATCTTCTGCAAGGCCGCTGGCAGCGTATAAGAATTGGACGAGCGCTAGGGTTGGGTTTTATCCTCAATTATTTCCGCCGCCGCCGCCTCCACCGTCGCAGAAGCACGGATCCCCATCGCCAGCAGCCGAAGAATCGATTTCATCAATCCTTCTCTATCACTTCTTACATGGTATCGGCCTAACCGATCTAACACTAGCCGCCGCACGCCGCCCCTTCGGCAATGGACCGCCATGACCAGCCGGGGCCGCATCGCCTGTACCTAGGGTTCGTCTGCCGGTCGTGTTGATCCGGATCTCTCTCTCTCTCTCTCTCTCTCTCTCTCTCTCTCTCTCTCTCTCTCTTCGTTTTCATCGGCCTTTTTCATTTCGGTCTTCCGATCTAAAATCGGTTTGCGTGGCCCATCGTCGCCGTCCACCCCCGCGCGACTCTACTCCGACACCGGCGCGATCTGCCGGCCTTTCCTCTGACCCGGCAGCCTCACGCGCCACGGTGGCCCGTCGCGACCAGCTGTCATCCGTGCGTCGGCCCGCCCGTTGCCCTGCACCAGCCGTAGCCACCCTGCTCCGATCGGGACATCTCCAACACTATCCGCCTTCGCGCGTCTGTATGCCCGTCCCGCCGTCTGCCTCGCTGGCCCCGTTGCCAGCTACGTCGGGCCGGCTACCGACTGCATTGGGCTCGCCGGAAGCCTCGAGCTCGGGCGCCAGTGCTGCGTTGGTTGCTAGAGCCTCGCTGCCCGGGCGCCGGCGTTACGTTGGAGCTCAGGCGCCGGGCGCTAGCACTCGTTCACATGCCGTTACCCGCCGTTCATCGTCGCTGGTTTCATCTCGGACTCCGACGCGACCCCGCCTCCAACAAGCGACATTCCTTACCTCACGCAATCGGATTGATTACCCGCCCGTTCGCGATCCGTCTCCTCTATGCTGCACGATTGATCTGGCCCATCGGTTCTGCGCGTCTCCGCAGGTCCCGTGAAGACCGTCCCGGGTACAACGTGCCCCTCCGCCGATCGAACTACTGGCTGCCGTTGCGTCACCCTGTCGGGCCGCAGCGCCGCTGCCTGGTGGCTCTCTCTGCGTCTACGCTGACCCGTTAGCAGCTGCTACGTCTACCCTTCGGGTCATAGCGCAGTGGCACCCGGTCCCCGCCGCCGCCCGAGGCCGTCCCACGACTGCACTGACTCGCGCACCGCTGTTGCCTCGCCCCTTTGGGCCACAACGTCGCGGCACACGGTCCACGCCACCGCCCCAAGGTCTTCCCTTCGTCGCCCTGACCTGCCTGCTGCTGGTGCATCACCCCTTCGGGCAGTAGCACCGTGGCTTACGGTCGACTCCGCCGTCCCCGCGCATGGACTTCCCATGCTATACGCCACGCCGCCTCCCTTGGCGCAGGAACGCCACCCTCCATGCCAGTCTTGTTACGATGTCAGATTCCTCACCTACTTCGAGCACCGCCGTCGCGCTGCTAACCTAGCAGCCGCCGCCGCCGTCAGGCCACCGCCGCTCTTCTTCGACCGCTGCTACCCCCGTAGCCACCGCTGCCGCCCGTCCACTCCGTTCGTCTTCGTCCAGCACCAGTGTTGTTGTCATCTTTCCCGACCACTTCATCTACTCCGACCACCGGTGGCGACATCGGCCCCGCGCCGATTGATGCCGCAACCATTGTCGAGTCCTTCTCTACTAGCCCCTCGATTTCTTGGACATGGCGTACAGCTCGTGCAATTCCCTCATCTATGCATGTCCGGTGCTGGCAATACCGATGCTTGCCTTCGCCCACGGCGTGACCCCGGGTCTGGCAAGCCTGGTGCGGCGCTTCGTTAACTTCGTCTTAGTCCGTATACGCATGCTTGGTGTGGCAACACCGACGCGTGACTTCGGCTATGATGTGTTCCCGGGTTTGGCAAACCTGACGCGACACCTCATCAACATGGTCTTCTTCCCTGTGCAACGCTACTTCGACACCACTGTGCCCATGAATAACTTGACGCCTCCTTGCACCCACGGCTCCATGATGACTCCCTCGACACCGGCCACACCGTTTCGACATCGACCATGGCGTACTTCGCACGGCTACCTCGACCATGGCTACATCGGCCCATGCTCCCGGCTACCTCGTCGGTTTCCACTCTAGCCACAACTTCTGCGATGCATCCGCCGTTACGACTGTGGGAGGGTGTGTGTCGACTTGCCTTGGGATTCTTCTTTAGTTTCACCGTCTCCGTCGCTACCATTGTGACTGCGGGGGATGTTTAGTATAATGTTTATTTAGGAAACATAGGACATTGTAGGATTTATTCCACCTTACCTTGTACTCCAAATAGATCATGTACTCATATATATATATGCTCACGAGGCTCAAGTAATAAATAATCAGTTCCACCAATCCCTCGATATCCCTTCTTACAGGTGGGAGCAGGGTGCATGACAGATGCAACGGGAGTAGGTTGTCATGCAGCACGCCGGCGCCATTGACGAGCTCGAGGTTGGTGCCTTTGGCGGCCATGTGCAGCACCGTTTGCTCCTTATCAACCTAGAGCATGATGTTAACATGTTCGGAGACGACGGAGCACGAGATCAAGAGCTCAGACCCCTTGCTCGTCTCATGTGCTGCTGCACAACAACCTGCCCGTTGCATCCGGTATGCACCCTGCTCCCACCAATAGCCACATCTCAGTGTACCAAATCTTCGGAACCACTACGAACCAACTTATGGTTGGATGGTTAAAGGAACAGTGATATTTCTAGCCCATCAGGGTTCAAATCCTAGTGCTCGCATTATTCCTGAATTTATTTCAGGATTTCCGGCAAAGCGCTTTTAGTGGGAGAAGACGTTCCCATCTACGATGAGGCGCATACGGTGACTTCGTAAGATGATATTTTGTAGAAGATGTCCATTGAGATAGGTTGTGCGTGTGTGCGTTTATAAAAATAAGTGTATACATGTACATATAAGCGCTTGCGTCTGTACTGTGTTCTAAAAAAAATCTCCGGAACTACACCTGGCAGAGCACAAACCGGTCAGGCTAAGCACAGAGCACTGCCATGAGGTTCCTAACGACTCGACCATGCTAGTCTGTACAACACAAAGTGAACCACGACATCAATCCTCATCCTCAAGAAATTTTATATAATAAAATATTTGTGTCATATTTAAGATACATTTTTTGTCCATATTAGGTCCTGATTAATTATTTAGAACTTACATGTGCTCTAACCGGAGCCGTGAATAAAAAAGTTTACAATTAGAGGAATGGTTATTCTAAAGTTCATTAAACATGCAAATGTGACACTGGTAGAAAAAGGGCCTGTAGTCCCGGTTCATAAGGGCCTTTTGTCTCGGTTCTAAAACCGGGACTAAAGGGTCGGTACTAATGCTCTGTCCCTTTAGTCCCGGTTCAATCCAGAACCGGGACAGATGGGCCTCCACGTGGCCTGTGCGCGGAGCCCAGGCAGGAGACCCTTTGGTCCCGGTTGGTGGCACCAACCGGAACCAATAGGCATCCATGCGTCAGCATTTCTGTGGCTGG